TTTAAATCTACGTACGGATTTGGAAGACATACATGTACCTAACAACGCTTCAAGGGTATGCGCACATTATTCAGCAAGTAAAACAAGGTAAGATTCTCGCCCAGGGTTTGACCCAGGAGAGCCAGATACCTGATGGGGAGGTGCGTTTGTAAGAGTGGAACCAACCACGCTCAGCAATAGCGTATCCGTTCTTCAAGAATATAGGAAAGATTACTTGGTCAATGAAAACATGGATTGTAATAGACTCGAAGTCCAGGTACAGAGGACATGAACGCGAGAATATGCTGCGATGGATGCAACAGGATCATTGACACAAGCTCCCCAGTCAAAGACAGAAATTTGGTGTGAGATGTCCTTGCATCAACTCAACGAGGTGCATGCCCCGGAGAGTTTGTACCCCACATTTTTCAAAGGCGACGAGTTCCTGGTGAGCGGTTTGACTACCCTAATCTAAACAATCTGGAAGAAAGGCAGAATACCGATTGATTGGTGTGCTTCGGTCGTAACTCCAGTCCCTGATATGGCGCACGAAAACCACGCCCCACTATTATGTTGTGCACAAAGAACGATTAGTGGATGACGAATTCGCAGATTCAGGCTGGGTTTTGTCCTAACCAAGGATTCATCAACCTTAGTTTGAAATAGGTGCTTCCGAAAAGCCGCACTGTCGATCGTCAGAAACTAGGGAGATGTCTGGCGATCATAAACTTTCATCCTTATGGGCATGTAGAGGAGCACAGAGTAGGAACTGAGACCGCGCGATCCGCGATTATTTATGGGTCAAAAGAGCGGGGTTTACGCACAGAGGTTATACGAAGTATAACCGAAGTACTGACTGGGTGAAAACATCAGGTGGGTAGTGCTGAGTTATACCAGATGGTATAAAAAAAAGGAATTTCCCCAAATCGTAAGAGCTAATTACGCTACGGATGTTGGGCTGCTCGAATCATAATTCACCTATCCGGAGGACGCCTAAGTCGTCGAGCAGACTTCGCCCAGTCCTGTGCTGACCGGAAAAGACTGAGAGATGGGTAATATGTAACCTGAAAATAAAGTATAAAGGTACCAAATAGTAAACTCGAGTTGAAGTTTGTTACTTCACTGGATGGATGCCGTGTGACTGGATCCAACAGCGGTTGGTGACACCGACAGACAGTTCATTCATGCAGCTAGCGGCTCGCCTGCATCAAAGTTATCAACCTCAATGCTTTCGGCTCCACCAGACAACTAGAATAACTCGAGATCAATCTCCTGACCTTCCATTTTCAGACAGTAGCTGGAATCCGCGTACCCTTGACAAATGACTGACAGCAGATAACCTGAACTGAACTGGACCATTGGCTACAGATTCCCTCAAATTACAACCAGAAAAGACAAAGTGACAAACCTTCCTCCTTAGACGGGAAGAGTTACAATAACACAATTGGACTGAATACTGGCTGACGTCTCAACAGGACCTCCACAGATCTCGTGTAAACCCAATAATACACAAGAAGATGCAAAATGACATATAGCCATTTCAACTGTCTTTAAAAGATCAGCCCGCAACTCACCACGTACTACTAATTGATATTATGAGGCCTTGCGGTTAAACTTGAGTCCACATTTGATCGATGAAGGTCACAAAAGCAATAGTTGAGAATACACAGAAAACAAGTGACAGTGTGAGAGCACTTCTGTCTGGTACTTAAAAAGGTCGCAACAGATTAGGTGCAACAATATGATTTGGGAATTCATTTTCCCCGCCTGCCAATTGCATTATAAGTTTCACTGCACTGTCCGGGACCATCATCATTCACTACCGTACAACCATGTCAATTCATCTGAATAATGTCAGAGCTAATGCAACTCCCAAGATACTTACAGTGTCCCCCAACTACCAGTGCTCAACACTGAAGTCCTAGAGGCATATTCATACTGCAAATCCTGCAGCAGGACCTTGCACCCTGTGGGTGCGAAACACATTCAGAAGAGTTGGATGACGGTGGTCAGCTCCTCTAGTGCTGCTTGTGCCAGTTGATCTTTTTCAAAATTCAGAACAATGCGCATTCCAGGTTTTCACCTGGAGAGATCTGAACGCACAGGTTTCACAGATCACCCAGAGTGAACGAGGCTGTGGCAGCTGCAGCCACTGCATTTTGTGCTCTGTTTTTGAGCTCAAAAGCTGACCGACTGACTCCACAAACACCTTGACGCGTCCACAAGTACGTGAATACCAGTAGTGCACGGATTTAAGCTAATTATTCTGTTACTGCTACATTCAGTGCGAACACCGTATTTGAAAACAGGTGCTCCGACTGCCTCACCCTAACTGGTTGCGACGGTCTCTTTCAAACAGATAAAGCAGATAAGTTAGACAGCTCCTGACTAAGGAGTTCACTTCAATCCTTAGAAAGGCACTTGATAGAGGAAAAAATTCGCATACTTCGGAAGCCGTCGGGGGTTCCAAATTTTTCGTCAAAAGCTCCGTTCGAGGTTGACAGTCAGACTGGGAAATTGCCAGTGGGAAGTTGAATTGTTCTTGGAATTGTTCAGCCCAACGATTCATGCATTTCTCTGTCCTAGCGATAAGTGAGTCGTTTTTATCGGTAATCGTTTTGCTCAAAGGAGCCAATTTGACGTATCGGCTGGAACAGCTTTTGTACACTCACAAGATTTCTCGCTTCCTCCAGCTCTTCAGCATCCTGGACCGACTAAGCTTCTCAGCCTGTGCAAATATTATTTCTTACCTAACGTTCGTCGAGTCGTATTGCAGTCCCAATCGGAATGATTACATGTCCGAAGTTCGAGCTATTTTCGAGCGCCGCTTTAGCTTGAAGTAGCTCAGTGACCGAGGTGCGAACTTACAGATCAGAACGTCCACGGTTCGAACCAAACCAAGGCACCCCGACCGCCTCTGTTTAGGCTTGTATAATGTGGCAAAATCTCATTCTTAGTACCTCTCTCTGGTGGAATGACAGCCGTGGACCAAAAGAGAAATATTGCTGAAGGCCTCCTTTTCGACTTCGAGGGCACTGCTCGAGATTCAGTGATCATATGCGGTTGGTTGGGCCGTTCAGCAAGCATATCGACCGGTGTCGTATAGGGTTGCGGACAGTGATTTCCAGCTAGTGGTTTCAGAAGAATAGTCCCATACCTTCAACGCTCACGAAGTCGTCTTTATTCCCCAGCCGTAGTACTTCCTTCGTCCAGCTTTACTGTTTCCAGTGTCGTTTTTTTTGGATTCGGATGTGAGCCTATGTTACTTGATGCACTGTTAGTGTCGAGAGTGCAATGTAGTTTTGCGGCGGATCACGTGTTGCAGCCATTGCGTTTAAGTCTGCGCGCTCCAAGACAGAACTTCAAGGCAAGGCCACCTCACCACCTCCTAATCGAGTGGTTTAACAGACCCGTTTTTTCTGTGGTACGACAGTGTAAGTGCGTGTGGGTCACTGTAGTAAAGTAATCTAAGTTGATTACAATCGCAACTCAACATGTACCAAATTCACGTAAAAATGGTCACTTTTTAGCCACACTCCCGAAGATCCAAATCATTTGTTCTCCATTTCGACGCGGTCTGCATAGCAACTGGCTCGTAGGTGGGGAAATTGTGCGTATAAATAGCCAAGATGAAGTCCTTTGTTAGTTTCTATTGGTGGGTAAATTTTTGAAACCTCCATTCACCAAACAGTCAGCGTTAGTTTCAAAAGCTGTACCTTGAAGGCTGTTTATTAACTGTGGTAAATCGCGAACCGTGGATCCGAAAGCCAAACAACAATCGACAGAACGCCGAATTCCGTAGTAAGCTTGGGCTTATGGGGGAATGACGCGGGACGAGGTGGGCGTAATGAATTTTCCTATACAGAGTCGACACTGATCCGAAATATTGGAAAGGTACTACTGCTTCTACAGATATTTCTAACCAAAGAAACTGTTCGATTCGTCTCAAGGGTGGTTTATTCAGTCTGAAAGAAGTCAGGGAATATGATGAGAAGTGAAAACTATCGGATCATATTTCAACAAGGCTCAAATCCAAAAACGGGTCAAAAATGATACGAACATCAACTATGGGTCATAATGCAAGGTGGTGTCATTCGATGTACTATCAGTCATGCACTATGCTGCGCATTACACCTGGCTGTCAGTGTCAAAATTCACATACTTTTCTACAGAATCCCAAGAAGACACAGTCGTTGCCCTTGTTCCAAGTTATGTGGAAATCCTGTGGGTTTGTGATGCGATGACGCAGACGTGGCTGGGTGTCCGCCGATCGGCCAAAGGCGGTCAGATACACGTTGTATTCTCAACCCGACCAGACATCCGGGTTCATCTCGACGCGTAAACATTTGCAAGGAAAACTCTAACATAGTGGCTTCCCATTTCATGCTTTCCATAGTTTACATGTTTCTATCTCATTAGTTGGGTAGAGCAAACGCGAAAACTTTGAACTAGAGATCCAAATCATTTGTTCTCCATTTCGACGCGGTCTGCATAGCAACTGGCTCGTAGGTGGGGAAATTGTGCGTATAAATAGCCAAGATGAAGTCCTTTGTTAGTTTCTATTGGTGGGTAAATTTTTGAAACCTCCATTCACCAAACAGTCAGCGTTAGTTTCAAAAGCTGTACCTTGAAGGCTGTTTATTAACTGTGGTAAATCGCGAACCGTGGATCCGAAAGCCAAACAACAATCGACAGAACGCCGAATTCCGTAGTAAGCTTGGGCTTATGGGGGAATGACGCGGGACGAGGTGGGCGTAATGAATTTTCCTATACAGAGTCGACACTGATCCGAAATATTGGAAAGGTACTACTGCTTCTACAGATATTTCTAACCAAAGAAACTGTTCGATTCGTCTCAAGGGTGGTTTATTCAGTCTGAAAGAAGTCAGGGAATATGATGAGAAGTGAAAACTATCGGATCATATTTCAACAAGGCTCAAATCCAAAAACGGGTCAAAAATGATACGAACATCAACTATGGGTCATAATGCAAGGTGGTGTCATTCGATGTACTATCAGTCATGCACTATGCTGCGCATTACACCTGGCTGTCAGTGTCAAAATTCACATACTTTTCTACAGAATCCCAAGAAGACACAGTCGTTGCCCTTGTTCCAAGTTATGTGGAAATCCTGTGGGTTTGTGATGCGATGACGCAGACGTGGCTGGGTGTCCGCCGATCGGCCAAAGGCGGTCAGATACACGTTGTATTCTCAACCCGACCAGACATCCGGGTTCATCTCGACGCGTAAACATTTGCAAGGAAAACTCTAACATAGTGGCTTCCCATTTCATGCTTTCCATAGTTTACATGTTTCTATCTCATTAGTTGGGTAGAGCAAACGCGAAAACTTTGAACTAGAGATCTGTCACGACTGCTTCAGTCGGCAAGAAGTACGGATATAGTAATTCTAGCGGGTTATATGAATACAGAAGTTGGACGACTAAGTCCGGAAGGAGCACCGCTAAGTGATCGATTTAGTTTCGATGCTGAGCGTAGCGATAATGGGGAGCGGCTTCTTCAGTTGTGTGCAGATCATCGTCTGTTCCTGGCCAGTACGAACTTCCAACACAAACTCATACACTAAGTTACTTGGAGGCCACCTACCACAAGACAGCCGTGGACTCTGACCACGCCATCATGCAGGCCCGCTTAGCATTTCGCTTTCCGCCAGCAATACATGTACCGAAAGAGAGCAGATCCGTTCATCAACTTCGACTAGTTTCAGTAGCTGAAGAGTATGGAGCCGATCTAGCTAGAAAGCTAGCGGAAATGCACGGTCACGTAGACGACGAAGATTGCCTGGAGGATGAATGGACGCGAGTGAAAGAAGCAATGCTGTCAGCTTTCAGAACTGTTTGTCTAGCCCATCTGACGCGACTCAATGAACACCGGATATCTTCGAGATCAGCAGATCTGATTGCTGCCAAAAAGGCCATACCAGCAACTAACAAGGACTATGATGGCGCACGCAGATCCCTCAAACATTGGATAATCAGGAGCTTGAAGAATGACAGAACGATGGTGGATTCCGAAGGTCCAGGAGATGGAGAAGGCTTTCGCTGCAGGCAAGAGCAGCGCCCTGTTTCACCTGATCCGATCAACAGGTCAAAAGAGGGCAGGTGTCAGTGAGACAATATGCGAGAAAGACGGAGAAGCGATTCCTTCACTCAATCGTCGTTTTGAGTGAGCACTTAGAAGAAAAGTTCACTTGGTCTCCTTCAACACAACCGCTAGAAGAACCAATCAGGCCCGAATGAAACAGTGATACCAACCCACCATCAAAAACCGAAATCCAGCTTGAAGTTTCAATCCAGAAGCGCGACAAGGCACTTGGCCCGGATGGTGTACACCCTGCGCTCCTAAAAGGCAGCGAGGTCCTGGTGAACATTCTTACAACCATACTGCAGAAGATTCGGAACAAAAACAGAATACCAGCCGAATGGAGCTCCCCAACCGTCATTCCAGTTTTCAAAAAGAAAGCAAGAACGTCATGTGAAAACCATCGCGGTATCAGCCTGGTATCTGTCGCACTTAAGTGCTTTTTGGAATTATTTTGCGCAGGTTGATGGATTATCAGGAGAGAAAGATTCGTGAGAATCAAGCTGGGTTTCGCCCTGGTCGAGGATGCATCGACCATATCTTTACCTTGAGACAAATCCTCGAAGAGCACCACCCTTCAGACGTTCCACGTTGGTCGTTTTTCTGAATTTGAAAGCTGCTTTTGGTTTTGTCGATCGTCAGCAACTTTGGCAGTGTCTGACGATCAAAGGTATTCCTTCCAAATTTCTCTTCCTTATGAGGGCATTGTATGCGAACTCCTGTGGTCGCATACGAGTATACGGGAAGCTCTCGCCCGAGTTCACCACGTCCAGCGGTGTAAGACAAGGTTGTTCTCTCTTTCGTTTCCTCTTCAACTTTGCTACGGATATGCTTGAAGTTTCTCTGCCTGCCTCCAAAACCTCGGGAATCGAAATACTACCGAGACGTCCCCTCAGACATTGAGTACGCGGACGATATTTCTCCCCTTGTTCAGATCCCTCAAAAATGCAAACGGTTTTGAATAACCTAAAGAACTCTGCCGCACGGTTTGGCATGCGCTTCACACCTGCAAAGTATTGCTACAAGACTAGGTGAGATGAAACCCACATCTCATGGTTGCAGATGAGCCAATCGACATGGTAGATAAATTTGTTCACCTGGGCAGCTGTATAAGTTCTGGTAGAGTGGCTGGGGATGAGATTACTTCTCGAGTCGGAAAGACCAAGGCCGCTTTTGCCAACCTCCGATGTGACGTGAGTTTGTTTGGCAAGGGAGGATTTTACACAGTGGTGGCGCGATCCATACTGCTTAGTGGATAAGAAACGTGGCCTATACGCTCAGAGGACATACGAAAGATGTCAGAGTTTTACAATCGGTGTCTCCGAAGCATTGATCAGGTCTGGTGGGATCATCGGATTAGTGATGATAAAGTACGCCAGATGGTCCTAGGATGAAGCAACTCTCCCACGATAGACAAATTACTCACGCTGGCTGGCCCATGTACTCAGCACGCCTCATAGAGCTCTTGTTCCCACCCGTGTGTTGAGCGGACGCGAGCAAGAGGTGGACACTGTATGACCTGGCAACGAAGTGCGAAAACACTAACCAGTAAATTTAGTCGGGTGGGCAACTGCCGCCTCCTTAGATGGAGACCCCGAAACTCAAATCAACACTGGTTAATGACATTGGCGGAAATGGCACAATCACGCAGTCAGTGACGCTCGTTCATCAAAACAATCACCCTCCAGTGAGTAGCTACATAGTTTCCGGACAAATTAAACATGTCTTCGCATCCAAGGCTTGGTTTGATATTCCACTTTCCCGTTTTCCGGTGATCGAAACCGCAGCAGCTGGAACCAATGTGCCTACGGTACACGGTTTATTGCTGATAAACTGATTGATTGATACAACTAGACGTAGCCCATTTCTAGATGCAGAAAACATCTGCAAGTCACGTGCGGACATTCACACATTATTATGCGCGAGTTTGTTAACGTATCTTACTTTACGAAAGTTGTGCTCACTCGTTACGGTCACTAGTGCGTTGACTTTTATCCGGAATAGACGATAACTTTTCATTTATTTTGAGCTTATTAGTACACACTATCATACTGTGTTCTTCGTAACACCTAGAAGCGGCTTACAAAAACAGAATGAATGACCAATCCAAAAAGTTTCCGTTTGATTTTAACATATAGATGGAATCTCTGGAATTTTCGGAGTCGCATTAAAGATGTGCTATTTTTCAATAGTTGTTTAGCCAGAGGAAAAAGTCACCTCATCATTACCTAATGATCAGCTCGCCCCTACTCCTAACTGGACAGTGAACACAAAATCTCGTTCGATAAGGGTGAAAGTTCTCTACACTAGAAAAATAAGCCCCTAAAGAAATATAGCGCAAAGAGAGGCGGCCATATTGAAATCTTTTCTCTCGGGTGTAAATACACCAATGGTCGGTTATTAGTAAGGGAAATGCCAAACTTGAGCTTTATCTGATCCGAAAGGGTATTGGGCATAGTCCCCTTTTTCAATTACGACTTGTAACTGTCAATCTTGTTCCTTCAAGAAACTTCGCTTAGTGTGTTTGGTACACTAGCACTCACTAGATGACGCGCCCCGTTTGTTCCAAAACCAAACAAACCACGTGACTAAATCCTGTCCTGCTTGAAACCTTGATTGATAAGTACACTGCATTTTTCCATCCATCTTGTTTACGTGGCTACCAGCTGCATCTCGTGTCAGACTTACTACCTTCACCCACATCAAGTTACTTTTGTCTGCACAACTGTCAAACAGGGGTGGTATCCCACTTTTCACATTGCACATAATAAATACGCATATAACGCGTCACAGCACACACAAGCGGGCACAGGGAAGCAAGATAACCGAACTTCGCAGGTGTACGGACAATCACGGAACAAGTGGAATGCAGTTAAATTGCAAAGAAAACATGTCCCGCATCCGGGCCTTCACTCACGAACCCCGACAAGCTATGCTCAAAAGTTATCTTTTGAACCATTTCATTCTGACGTCGTGTTTGCTTTATTTTGCTATGCAGAAGCAATGACCCAAATGAAGCAGTTTACCATCAGTACGGTGCAACCCATCTCACCTTCAATATAAATACACAAGTACTGGAAATCTTGAACTTCAGAAGAATATGAGGAGATCCTGGAGAACAATCAGATTCAAGAGTGCCAATTAAACTTTTTTCACATGGAGAAAATGTTTTTTTTGTGCTTGTTTGAAGGAGCATTCGGATCCAGGTGTACCCGACAACTAACAATGGACCTGAAAGCTAAACGGGACTTCCAATAGGGTTAGCAAAATATGTTTTCTTAAGATACGACGAGCTACGAAACCGGAGGATTGAGGTCCTATCTCTAATCAAAATTGAATCAAAACACCTAGAAAGTTAGCACGTGCTCAAAATCACCTAAAACACCCGCGCTATCGAACTAGTTCTGTGGAGTGAGCTTCAGATGAGGCTATTCCACCGATGTCTTGGGAAGATTAAATTCCACTTCTGTGAGACTACGGATGCGTTTGCCAACACGACCGGAAGATCCAAATGATTGGTCGTCGGTCAGTTTGCCGAGATTGGAAGTTGGATTGCGAACATCTCATCATCAATCGAGATGGCGTCATCATCATCATCATCGACAGCATGATATCAGTGTTCAACACCGATGCTTCACTGCCGTACAACCATGACTTATTTGAAAGCCTTATTGTGAAGAAAAGAATAAAGGTGGATGGGGAGGGACTTGGTGCTAGCTTAACACAATCATTCCGAGGTGCCTACACCTCCAGACATTCACTCAGGCAATCTGGATAGAAACTGACAACAACAACGCCACTGACATCGGTTGGCACCCATATCTTCTAGTGTCTCCAACCAGGCACAGTGAGTATCACGCGGTCCCCATCCTGGAAGGCGAGCAGCACCGACAGCACTCAAGCGTTTCGTGATCTCCTTCGTACTCCTCTGCCAAGTCAAGGGTTGACCACCTCTCTTTTTACGCCACTCTGGGTTGGGCATGGAAACAGCACTCTCTTCGGCAAACGATGGTTCGGCATACGTAACACATGTCTCAACCAACGCAGCTTCTGGTGCTGGACACATTCTTCAATGGAAGTACCCGTTACACAACCGAAAACACGCTTTC